TTATGTTCTTTTCTTTGAACTTGAATTTCACGTTATAATAAGGGAATAGAGGAGAGGAAGAAAGTAGGAGGTGTGAAGGGTATCTGAATGTAACGGGTTTGCTGTTAGTCTTGATTGTTTAAATCAGCAAATGAATAAACAGATGAGAAGGAATTTTGAAAATTGACCTTTCTTTTTACCTCCCTTAATAGTTTGGTCTTCGCTTAATTAATTGAATTGTTTTTAATACAGAGAAAGAAGGAGAATTTTGTTTTAAAATGGCTGGATATTTAAAATTTGTGCAGATTAATTTACATAGATCGAGAGCAGCGGTAGGTGCGTTGTCAAATTTGATGGTGAAAGATGGGATAGACATTGCACTGATTCAGGAGCCATGGACGGTGAATGATAAAATTAAGGGTATGGGTATGACAGGAAATGTTTTGTATAACTGTAATGATCAGAGGCCGAGAACATGTATAGTACATACTGGTAGAATTAAACCGGTATTATTGCCGCAATTCAGTGATAGGGATATCACTACGGCTTTAATGGAAAAGAATAATGAACGTTCACGTCTTTCGAAGCTAATTATTGTATCTGTGTACATGCCGTATGATAGGAGGGAGCCGGTATCAGAGAAACTGGATTTACTGGTTGATTGGTGTGTTCAACAAGGGATTAGTATGCTGGTAGGAGCGGATGCAAATGCGTGTCATATATTATGGGGAAGTTCGGTTACGAATAATAGAGGTCTAAAACTTTTGGATTTTATGAATATTAATGGGCTTACTTGGCTGAATGAAGGTTTGGTACCGACGTTTAGTACTTCGATTAGAGAGGAAACGTTAGACGTTACAATGGTATCGCTGGAGATTAGATCGGCATTAAGTCAATGGAAGGTTTTGGATGATCTATCGTTATCAGATCATAGATTCATCTCGTTTAAATTATTGGTAGAAGGGGTTCCTATTAACAGGATTGTGAGTGATAAGAAGTTGTTGAATGTAGAAAAGTTTTTGGAGAGTCTGAACGATAAGCTAAGGGAATCTCCTAAGGAGTATGGTACGCCGTTACAGATTGATGTTTATGTAGAGTTTGTTACGGATGCTATTATGAAAGCGGCAGAGGAAGCTTTAGAGAAGAAGATGAAAAGGTTCAATGGTAGATTACCGTGGTGGAATTCGAAGCTTCAAGATCTCAGCCGGAAGGGTAAAAGTTTGAAAAGAAAAGCCCGGAGAACGGGAAGAAGCGGGGATAAGCATAAGGCAAGAAGAGCGGAGTTGAAATTGAATAGGGAGATTCGTAAGGCGAAAAAGAATTCGTGGAGGAGTTTTTGTAGCGGTTTGAAAAAGACGCAGGAAATAGCAAGGATAAACAGAGTATTGGAAAGGGTAGACCAGAATAGTTTAGGATTGCTAAGGAAACGGGATGGTACGATGACCGGAGATGTTAGGGAAACGTTGGAAACCCTGATTGCAGAACATTTTCCTGGAGCGTTGAACATGATGGATGTAGATGATAATGCTGGCGGCAGAAATACTTCGGAGATGAGACCAGTGAGACCGAATTGGAGTCTGGCGGCTAGTATTATCACGGAGGAGAGAGTTGGCTGGGCAATAAGTACGTTGTTGCCGTATAAAGCACCTGGTCCTGATGAAATCATTCCTAGGTACCTGAAAGT